TGGCTGGGCCCTCTGCATGTGAGTGTATCCAGGGCACAGGATTTCAATCTCTCTGGATGGACAATGGAAAATAGTTTGGGATGTGCGTGTTAGGTAATTGTACATTAGTAAGATGATGTGAGCATAGTGAGCATTCTTACACTGCAGCTCTTTCCACCATAGTGCTGATGAGCTGCAAAGCTAGTTCTTTCAGAGTGTTAATAGCGTCCCGTAGCCAGAGCCGCGTATCTGTTGCAACCTATCCAACAAATGGAAAGAGTTTGGTCAAAAGCCTGTATGCCTGTAAATATCATGTGACAAATTAAATTGAATTCAATTTAAACCTGATCATTTCTGCTCCTGCCTGTGTGAAGCTTTCCAGCTGGATCACCAATAAATTCCTTTAAAAGAACATTGACATGAACATTGACTGAATTCAGCTTCCTGTAATATTATTTTCATTATTCAGAATTATAATCTACACCACATGGTGAATTGATAAAATATCTTCTTATTCAATAAATAATTCAGTGTTTTCTTTTGACCTTCAGTCTGCGTTCATTGGCTGTGTGAATATCCTCGTCTCCTGGTTTGATCTTGAACTCGCCTTTGGACCATTCATCAAAAACCTGATAAAGATATTTTTAAATACCTCAGTTATTCATAATTTGTGACAATAAATTAAAATGTCTGATAAATCTTTTCGCAATATTTACAGCCATATTGGGGAGACCGGTGTTAGTTGCCACTAGAGCTATATCTTAGGAGCTCACCGTTATTATAGTTAACCAAAACTAAAACCAAACTAAAACTTGAAATAAAATAAACTTAAATTAAATTAAATAAAAACACTCCGGTTACTTACGTAACCTCAGTTCCCTGAGATAAGGGAAACTCCTGTTTACTCTGATACTGAAGTCTAATTTGATCACGTTCGTGTAGCTGCATGAACCAATGGCGCCTCAACCCGCCAAAAGGGGTGGTGCTGACTGCTATATAAGTCAGCTCTGGGTGCCATTTCGTCAGAATCTTTTGACTGAAGCAACAGTCATCGATTCACGTGCAGCTTTATAGCATGGCAGCCTACACAACGCTCGTTCCCTTATCTCAGGGAACCGAGGTTACGTAAGTAACCGGAGTGTTCCCTTTCGAACAATCTCTCCCGTTGCGTTATGGGGACCCAATCGCGTCGTGCCATAAGCAAGTGCAGAACGAAGCTGCTCTGCGAGCCCAGCCCTGGGGCACCCATACTTAGGGCTCCTGTAACATGAGCTAATAATGAGACCCAAGCTGCTTAGGCCAATCGTGGGCCAGGGCATCTCGCTGCTTCGAAAAATAAATTGGGCAGTGAAAGTTGTCTTCTGACGCGAAGAGGTCCACCTTTGCCTTCCCGAAGACAGACCAGATCATTTGAACCATTTGGGGATGTAGTCTCCATCCTCCTGGAGCTACATTGCCCCTGGACAGCATTTCTGCTCCCTGGTTTAGTCTGCCTGCCACATGAACTGCACTCAGCAAGAGGAGTTTGCCCTGTGCCCTGATCAAAGTGCTGTGGGGAGAGTGAAGCACACGGGATTTTCAATCAAGAGATCAATCAAGCCTGGTCGCTCAGCCTGTGACTTCACTGTTTCTTCCTCCGAAGCAGCTGGGAGGGGAGAAACGTGAGAGCGGGAGGGGCGAGGGCGAAGCAGGGCGAGACTCATGGTCTCACAGTGAGAGCAGTCTGTCTCAGAGAGCGCAGCCTCAGCATGGGCATGGCCCAGGCAAGCGACGCACCCAAATCTGAAGCTGTCAGTAATATGGAATAATCGGTGACAGCATTGTCCTCTGATCGTTGTAGACAAGGGGTGCTGATCCTCACGTGTAAAACACCTGTGCCGGTGTGAGATCACTCAAGCCCAATTGCTCAGTCCCATGACTCCGTTTCTTATCCGAGCTAGCTGAAAGGGGAGAAAAGGGAGAGTGGGGCTGCCTTCATTGAAGAAGGCGATCTGCGAGCGGAGAAGGGCGAGACTCATGCTCTCAGAAAGCATTCCGTTCGGGTGAGCGCAGTCTCTGCATGGGCGCTGCCCAGACAGGCAACGTATTCACCGTGCCCATCTGCATCATGCAGGGGTCCCTGCATGAGCCACACTCACAGTGCGACATTTGCAACATCGCCAGAAAATTTGCTTTAATAGATGCCGTATAGCTGCAGGGGAAGGCTTCTAGTGATCTTCCGCTGCTGGGGCTTCTTCTTAAGGTGGTGAGCAGCAGGCTGCGCGCTTCTTGCTTCGGCTTCTTGTCCAGCGAGGAAATGACCTTTGCCACTGATGGAGAAAAATTCTGACGAAATGGCATTTAGAGCTGACTTACATATCAGTCGGCTCCACCCCTTTTGGTGGCTTGAAGCACCATTGGTTCGTGCAGCTACACGAGCTTGATCAAATCAGGCTTCAGTTTCAGAGTAGGAGTTTCCCCATAGCGCAATGGGAGAGACCATTTGAAAGGGAACTCTTTTTTATTACAGCTAGTTGCCAAGGCAACATTTTTTTATTTTCATTTAGTCTAACTTGATATTAAAATGGTACTAAAACAACTAAAACTAAAACTGAAATAAAAACTATATAGACAAAACAACAAAATTACTAAACTTAAATTAAAATTAAAACAAAATATTTAAAAAATAATAATCTAAATATTTAGAAAAACTATATTATCATCTCAATGATTCTAAAATAACACTGCAGTAGCTACAGTATATAAAGATTTTATATTAATAGTCCAATTACACAAATTAGTGTTTTCTCTAGCAGATGTTTGTTGGTTTCAAATGCTGTCTTAGAGTTGAATTATTAGAATAATTACAAAGAATAATACAATATAGAATAAATGTTGTGAATTTTATACTCAAAACTAAAATTCCAAAATCATCATATTTTTAATAGCTGTTTTTTTTTGTTTTTTTTATTAAAGTTGAAAGTGTCAATTTCAAATATAGATTAAATTTTTTTATTGGGATAAGTTGTCGTATTATGTTTTTTACTTTTTTGTACAATACATTAAACTATTTGTTAATGAGTTAATATCTTTGTACATTACCTTTTACATTTCTGCTGACCATGTTTGCATGGTCAATGTTTGGTGAATGAACTGCATCTTTTTTCTTGATCAATAACTGTGGAAATTAAATATTCAAAATGTGACAACTAGCCCCAGTCTCATCTATCTGGCCAGTTGTATATGTTGACAGAATGCCATGTTGAATGGCAGTAGCTTCAGAGAAGTTTACAATAGGCACCATCAGCATTGTCACATGGCTATTGTTTTGTGCACATGGAGGTGTCTGTGTCCTGGCATATTTTTGTCTGTGATGTATTAAGCTTTGGTGTTAAAGGGGGAATGGACTATGGAACAGTATCCTGGTACATATTTACAAAGCAGCATCATAGTTCAAGGGTAAACAAATGAATTTTAATGAGAAAGATGACACTGTAAAAGAACACACATATAACCTGGATGCTATCAGACGGGTTTATGAGTAAGGTAATGTGGTAAATAATATAATCACCTTGTCAAGTCCTGTAAGAATCTGTTCCATCTCGTTTTGCGTGACCAGGCCTGCTTTCTGTAAAGCTTTGACATATGCTTTACTCCCTTTAATATCAGCTTCCCACATGCGCTGGTCGTACGCGATTGACGCGTTGAACTTTTCCATTATAGGGTCGGTGTTTCCCACAAAGCGACCACCCCATAGTTTATTTCCCTGTTTAACACAAAATAATAAACATAAACATTACGGTAAATCATCGCTCGTGGTTTCTGACAGGATTGGAAAGCCAGTGACACACAAAAAAACACACTAAATCAGACCGACTTTTTATGAGCGATAAAATGAGCGATCTTTACCTCTGAACTTGCCATTGTAACAGTCTCAAGCAGTCTTTATGTGCGAAGAGCAACCCGAAAACTAAAGGTCATTAAAACAGAAACAGGAAATGGCGGACAATTAGAGGACCAAATCAGTGCCGTATGTTTTCACCGATTCATGAGAATGAATTACCGTAAGAAGCTGTTCATTCAATAGATTGTGACCTGCATTTCTTCCTCGTGTATTTTGGGGAAGCGAAAGCCCCGCCTATAATATGTTAATTTGGTGCTCGCGAACCAACCAACATCTAAAGCGCCATTTTTTGGGCGCTGTCCTTCATTTTAGAGAACAAATACTGTATCGAACCGCCTCCCTAAAGAGAGAATACACTTTGCAGTTACAGTTTTGAATGGTGGATGGCGCTATGTCCTTAAAACGAGCAGGTACACAAATAAGAATGAATCTAGCTATACTTAATGTACTTAAATATTTTATCTCATTTTTATGTCTTATTTATTTTTGGGTTATATTTTTGTAATATACCTGTGCAAATACATCAAATCAACAGTGTATTTAGGGGAAAATAGGAGGTTATCACCAATGGTTAAAACCACTGAAAGTAGGCCTACTACATGTAACCTGCAGCAGCCCTGTTTGAGCAACTTGCAGACAATAATTACAAACGTATGTGATATTTGTTTGCATAATTAATCGAGATTTTTATTTTTGCTCTTGCATCTGTTCATTAAACTATTTCTCCCTTTTATCCATATTTGGGTTTATAACTTTTATAATTGTCATTTTACTATGTTCTCTTGATTCCTTGCAAGCACAATTATAGGCTTATTTTTCATAATATTACTTTTATATAACTATAATCTTATATAAATATACCATATTATATTTTATATAAATATAATCTTTTTCTATAACATTGAATCAATATTTTTCTATAGTGTCACTTCCACAACATTTCGAACTGATTTAATGATTCAGTTTGAATTTTGGTATTGTCGCGGGATTCATTTTGTTGCACGGGGAAACGTTATATGTAACGTTTATCTTTATAAAAATTTCCACTATAGAAAATAGTTGTAACCAGCAATAGTTACAGGAATATTTAACCCTACAAACAAATTTGAACACGACAACTGGGTGGGAACGTTTAACAGAAAGCCTCGTTTTCTCACCGGATCGTTGTTAGTCGTCGAACCAGCCAGGCAAGCGGGATGGAAGTGTAAGCGATTTAATTTACTTGTATTCGCCTAAAGTCAAACTTAAATCATATAATAATAATCTTTTTGTTGAAAATACCCAGTATATGGCGCTGTGATTAGAACAGGTTTCCAAATCTATACTGCAATGACGACGATATGCAGCTCACGTGGTTACTCTTGCATACTAACTTAATCTTTAGATGACGGTTAACGCTACGAATGCACTGGAGCCATCAAACTCAGATAAAATTGATTATGAGCTGATCTGTTGAAAATGTATTTTCACTAACAATTGATGAGAGATCATTTGGGTATAACGATTGATGTATAATTTTCAGAGTACATGTTGGTCGTATTTAATAGCGAGAGGGATTTGGGAAATTCAGAACAAAAAGTAAACATGAAAGTGAAGTGAAGCACGTGTGATTATAGGACTGGGAAAGCAGCACACTGAAAGCTGCTAAAAGGGGGGGGGATATTATTTTTTATCATAAATTAATGTTAAAACACTGCGTTTTACTCACCCCAAGGCATCCTAGGTGTATATGACTTTCTTCTTTATTTTTCCTTTATTTAATTGTTAGAATATATATATAACAATATTTTAACTAATCGCAAAAGCTGAATAATCAAATGTCTACTGATTAATCAGTGGAATAGTCGATGATTAGTCGATTAATCGCTCTCATAATCGCTAGATTCATCGATTATTAAAATAATCATTTGTTGTAGCCCTTAAAGGGGTCATATGATGCGATTTCAAGTTTTCCTTT